TCTGGCGCTGGATGGTTCCGTGCTTTTCGTCTGCTACAGCTGGTGTCATCAATTCCTTTGATTTCATGGTCTCAGTCAGCTCCTTTATTTGCTGGGCCTGGCTTTCGATGATCAGGGTCTGGCGCTGGATGGTTTCGTGCTTTTCGTCTGCTACAGCTGCTGTCATCAATTCCTCTGATTTCATGGTCTCAGTCAGCTCCTTTTTTTGCTGGGCCTGGCTTTCGATGGTCAGGGTCTGGCGCTGGATGGTTCCGACCTTTTCGTCTGCTACAGCTGCTGTCATCAATACCTTTGATTTCATGGTCTCAGTCAGCTCCTTTATTTGCTGGGCCTGACTTTCGATGATCAGGGTCTGGCGCTGGATGGTTCCGTCTTTTTCGTCTGCTACAGCTGGTGTCATCAATTCCTTTGATTTCATGGTCTCAGTCAGCTCCTTTATTTGCTGGGCCTGGCTTTCGATGACCAGGGTCTGGCGCTGGATGGTTCCGTCCTTTTCGTCTGCTACAGCTGGTGTCATCAATTCCTTTGATTTCATGGTCTCAGTCAGCTCCTTTATTTGCTGGGCCTGGCTTTCGATGATCAGGGTTTGGCGCTGGATGGTTCCGTCCTTTTCGTCCGCTACAGCTGCTGTCATCAATTCCTTTGATTTAATGGTCTCAGTCAGCTCCTTTATTTGCTGGGCCTGGCTTTCGATGATCAGGGTCTGGCGCTGGATGGTTCCGTCTTATTCGTCTGCTACAGCTGGTGTCATCAATTCCTTTGATTTCATGGTCTCAGTCAGCTCCTTTATTTGCTGGGCCTGGCTTTCGATGATCAGGGTCTGGCGCTGGATGGTTCCGTGCTTTTCGTCTGCTACAGCTGGTGTCATCAATTCCTTTGATTTCATGGTTTCAGTCAGCTCCTTTATTTGCTGGGCCTGGCTTTCGATGATCAGGGTCTGGCGCTGGATGGTTCCGTGCTTTTCGTCTGCTACAGCTGCTGTCATCAATTCCTTTGATTTCATGGTCTCAGTCAGCTCCTTTATTTGCTGGGCCTGACTTTCGATGATCAGGGTCTGGCGCTGGATGGTTGCGTCCTTTTCGTCTGCTACATCTGCTGTCATCAATTCCTTTGATTTCTTGGTAATTTCTGTTCTCTCCTTCTGGCTGGGTCCTATCATCATTGGGGACGCTGGGGATCATTACTTTGACCTCCAGAGTCTATCTCCATGTTTTTAAATCGGATTTTCTATTGAAAAACTTGAAAACTTTCACGAGCAAAAATATGACGTATTGTCAATTATCTCTTATACAGGGCGAATTACATAAAGAGTGTGTGAGCTCCTGGTAGTATCAGGCACACCTAACAGGCGTAACTGTTCGGCCGTACCAGTCAGGTGTACCTGATAGTAACACAGTGTTAATAAATATACGACTATTACCGTTTTTATACGATAACCTGGAGAGAGATACCCCCAACAGATGACTAGGAGATAAATACGTCAACAAGCTGCTTAGCCTAGCATTTTGTAGTTAGACTCTAAAATCCGCTAACTGCGATCATTGCTGGACCTCAAAACGCAAGCAGCAGAAAGCAGCATACGATCAGTTGAAGAGTCTCGTACTATAACATGCTTCTTCATCTTATTGTAAAGTCTACAGAAAGCCATATTGAGCCACTTAAAACGAAGAGCATAACATTGTCCTGAGCTAAGTAGAAACGTTCTTTCGCTTACTTAAACTAGACACTAGACGGAGAATTTTCATGTTCGATCTTCGTAAAAAGCGATAAAAGCACTCGAAGCCCTGCTCTCTGAGAGGGTCTTAGTTGACTATGGTTTATTAATTTGGACGAGGCACCGGAAGGTCCTTCAGGCAAGAGGAAACCGGTTAAGTGTAAGGAAAAGGTCGAGGCACTTTTTATTAGCGGTAATGAAGGAGTCCCGGCCACTTGTTTTCCAGCATCGAGCGCTATGCTTTTAACCTTTCAGGGCTCGTGAATTTGCAAATATCTCGATGGAGTTTGCGAAACTTTTATTTGGGGAACTTTGTATTCTAAATATAAATTCTCGGTATCGACAAAGAAGAAATTGAAGCGCAATAAGGTGCCTAAGCAGGGGCGGCTGTCCCTTAAGAACTGCCAAAACTTTTGTCTTAACAGAAAAAAGCAGTAGTAATTTGACCATTATTTATTTTCCATGTTATCGCAAAAATAGAAACAACACCGGCAATGCTGCCCCCGCAAGACACGGCGTCGAGTCTGTTTTGTACTGAGAAAGCATTACATCGACCAATTGTGTACTTGTCATTTTCGCCGCGACCGCAGCGTAACATTATTCATGGGCCACTTGAACAGGGTCTGTGGACGCGCTTGCTTTTCTCTCGCTACAAAATCAAATGCGCGGTGTAAGCATAAGCATGTGCTGCACGTTATACAGATCCGCACAGATCTAATGCGATATCTGATTGGTCGGTCGGTGCTCGGTATAAAACTTTGCGGAGCATTTGAATTGGCGCTACGAAACCGAGAGCTCCCAAAACCCGGGAATATTTCGTGGACTGATTAATTTTTCTGCTGAGCTTGATACACCTTTAAGCGAACACATAAAAATGCTTCAATATTTAAAGGAACTTCGAAAGAAATACAAAACGATCTACTGGATTGTATTCTTGAAGTTTGTCATGAAGGAATAATAAAACAGATTAACAGAGTCTCGTATTTGGCGATAATAGCAGACATTTCGGGGAAAACCCAACTGGTAATAATTTTCAGATACGTAAATGCTCAAGTTCGGGTTTTCTTTGGGGATTTGAAACATATCCCGGGATTTGTTAATAATTCTCCTCAACGCGTAGAGGTACTGAACATAATTGTGGGGAAAAACATTCCCCAAGGAGCAACAACTCGTTGGAATTTTAATATTCGAACAATAAATGCAGTGTTTGAGAACACAGAAATCACTCATTGAATGCATGGAAGAAATAGAAGAAAATTTTACTAATGAAACCGTTTGCAAGGCAGCTTGCGGTATTCGCCGTATGTTAAACGATTCTGTTTTCGTGTTTTGGTTGACATTTTTTCATCATGTCATGTCTCATCTTGTTCAAACAGTTACAGATGAGAAAAACCGAGCCAGCGCAAGTTAAGTGAAAAAATAACATTGAATTACACTTGCTGGGATTCAATGACATGTTGTGGTTAGTAGCATATCTAACAACACTCTCTATATCTGCATTTATTAGATTGTTTGTAGTTGATAAGTTTCCCGGATTGAAGTGGTCTGAAAATCGGCAATATAAATTATGAAAAGTAGAGGCCCCAGAATTGAGCCCTGCGGAACTCCTGAAACAATTTGTCTGCAATCAGATATATCACTCCCAATTTTGATGTTAGATGTGACGTGGAAAAATTAAAAGATATGACATCGAGAGGATAATATTGCAATCCAAGATCAGTGATATCGAAAGCTTTGGAAAAGTCAAACGAAATCACGATTGTACCAGTTTTTCTATACAATGCTCTGATTGTACAGGGTGGCCAATAAGTTGAGCGGATTTTGAAAAATTACAGAAAAAAATACAAAGCGTATGGAAGATAATTTATATTTTTAATAAAATAGACACATGAAAATTTTATTTTTTTAAAATAACATCATTGAGATGTGAGCTATCGAGTCGAGACTCCAAATTCGTGAAAACTCGCTGGCACATCCACGATAGTCTCACAGAAAAAAAAAATACAGAGCGTAGGAAAGATAATTTGTATTTTAAATAAAGTAGCATGGGGATTTTATTTTTTTAAAACAACATCATTGAGATGTGGGCTATCGAGTCGAGACTTCGAATTCGTGAAAACTCGCTGACACATCCACGATAGCGAACGTTTCTTTGCGGATGTTGTGCTTCAGCTGGGCAATCGTCGTCGTTTTATTGGCGTAAAGGTGGCTCGTGAAAACAAGAAATATATCATACTCAAATTTAAGATAAATCGACTGGATCCATTTTATACAGGGTTTTCCTTTTCAGAAACAACTACCCTTGTAATAACAAAGGTAATGTGTAGTGAAACGAGGGCGACCAAGTAAAAAAAATAAAGGAAAAAGTACTCACTCTCCAGTTGACGAGATGGGCTAAGTACGTCTCTGCCCGAAATCATACCGCTCCAACAGAAAATGAAATCAGCTGATGCGCTACCGAGCAGACGCAGAAACCACATTGATTGTCTTACACTTAATGGCACATCTTCTAACAAGGAAGGCAAAATGTTGCGTAAAAAGTCTAGGTATTGCATCCCGTCCAATCGGTTTGGGAGAATAAATGGACCAATGAGCATGCCAGCCCAAACATTCACCGAAAATGTTTGTTGAAAATGTGCCCGACGGACAGCGTGCGGATTTTCTACTGACCAAACATGAGTGTTGCGAAAGTTATTCGCCCCATTACGCGTGAACGTAGATTCGTCCGTCACCAATATGCACTTCAAAAAGTCCGGATTATTGTCATGTTGATGCAACAACCACTCACAAAATCGCACTCTTGCTGGAAAATCGTCAGGTTGAAGGGCTTGTACACGTTGGACGTGAAACGGATACAGCCCCTCTTCACGCAGCGTTTGCCACACTTTAGTTTTTGATACTTGCACTTCTCTAGCCACGTCTCTAGTGCTTGTTGAGGGATTCTCGTCTACGCGATTACCTCTACACGCGTGACCGTAACCGTCGGTTGAAGGTTGCATACTGACCTGACACACTGACTCCGACCCAGTTCTGTCGTCGGGTTGAGCCAGTGGCCTTGTACCAGTCGGGGATGTCGCGGCTACAGGACGGTATTCAGATATTTTTGATGTTGCAGAGCCCTTTATCTCGGTTCCCTTAAGACATTGGTGTATATGGTACTAAGAAAAATTGCTTATGTTTTCAAGATCTACACGTCGTGTAAAGGAAAACCCCAACTTTGCGGACACCCTGTATATATTTTGTGCAAGGTGCTTTAAATTTAAAAAATTATTTCTGTCTTTTGCAGCTAGTCTCGTCGAACACGACCCAGCGCAACTGGCGCGGCATTCTGATAGCGGTTCTGGTGATAGTGGCCGTTCTTGCACTGATCGTGACCTCCGTGGTACTGCTGACACCTCCAGACGACGGGCCAAGGGTCAAGGGCGAACGATTCCGGCTCAAGGACATCCTGGGTCACGAGCTGCAGCCTGCCAGATTCAACGGCACCTGGATATCAGGTACTGCATTTCTTATATAATTTCACCGGACTATAACTGAAGCTTTCTATCGGAATATGAACCGTTATTTTGCATTCATATATTGAGCCAACGTTAGTGCCAATACGGTATGTAAAGATCCTTTATTTCGCACCACAAAGAAGATGCTTGGCGACTGGTGAGTCAATCTACTTGACGTTTTAGCGTTACCGAAAATTAGCCTGAAGCAAATTGAAGTGTGCCGTAATCAAATTCAGCAGCGGATAAAAAAACAACGCGGTCCTCGTGAAACCAAATCGCCGTCAGGTGTAGGCAGGAACATTTGCAATTCTATGAGGTCTCGCTCAAGTTTTCGGATCTGATTACCCTCAAGCCTCAGGGCTTTCAATAGACCATTAAGCAAGGTCTCAATTACGTAAATTGCCATTTTCCATACGCTACTAGCTATAAATTAGTAACACGGTGTTTGAAGATTTGAATCAAAAAGCCTAATGTATACTGACATATAAATTCGAACACCCAGTTTAAATGGTTTTATTTTAATAATAGTTGGTGAATGTATTTATCTTACTGTAAATAACAAGTAAAAAAATTTTCAGCCTTATCAGTTGGACATTCCGGTTTTTATACTGCTTTTTTTTTAATTCACTAACGCTCTAAAAATGAATATTTCAGCCGCAGTAAAGAATCAACGTTGGCGGATGTTGGTTCTTTACATCCCTTACGATCGGTTACGATGCCTAGAGTACGGAGACCTGCACGATTTCGTCAACTTAGTGAGTTTGATAGGGGCCGTATAGTGGGACTTCGGGAAGCTGGACTTTCTTTTCGGGCAATTGCAGTTAGAGTGCAAAGAAATGTAGACACTGTGGTTAGATGTTGTCAGGCATGGCTTCGAGAAGGCCGTACGTAAAGAGCAAGGGGCACTGGACGCCGCCGTAGAACAACAGAGCGTGAAGATCGCCGCCTAAGATTATTGGCCTTAAGGGACCGTTTCTCCACTACCAGGTCCATTGCAAATGAATGGTTTGCAGAACACGGAAGACCTATTGGCATGCGAAGTGTTTACCGAGGAATGAGAAGTTTTGGCTTGTTTTCATACCGGCCACACTGGGTCCTCTCTTTAACTCGAGAACACCGACGTAATCGCCTTAAGTGGTGCAGACAACGGTCACTCTGGGATCAGGAATGGAACAGTATTGTCTTTAGTGACGAGTCTCGATTTTGTTTAGGCATGCACGATGGTCGTGCCAGAGTTAGAAGGCGACGTGGTGAAAGGAGGAATCCACTGTTTTTTGTTGAAAGACATGTTCATCACACTGTTGGAGTTATGGTTTGGGGTGCTATAGCTTATGGTTCCAGGTCACCTTTAATCTTCATCAGATGTAACATGAACGCGCTGCGTTATATCCACGAAGTTCTAGAATCCCATCTTTTACCCTATCTTGACACCCTGGCAGATCCAACTTTCCAACAACATAATGCCCGACCACATGTTGCAAGAGTCACAATATACTTCTTTCAACATAATTATGTCACATTGTTACCATGGCCACCAAGATCTCCCGACTTATCCCCAATTGAGCACGTGTGGGATATGATGGGTAGGAGATTGCTCAATTTGCAACGTCCTCCTCAGACTCTAGAAGCACTTCGAGAGGAGTTGGTGGTTGCCTGGAATGAGATACCACAGGAGGACATTGACCACCTGATCAGAAGCATGCCTAGGCGCGTTGGAGAATGCGTAGCACATCAGGGTGCATCCACACATTATTAAAGGTCAAAGGGCTTTAAAGCAGAGCAATCATTTTGAAATGTTTATCATTTACTTATTATGCTTCATTAAGTACTTATACAAAATTTTATTAAATGTATTCACAGAAAAGAACAGCAGCATTTTTTTGTAAAAATATCAGCCCAAAGTTGTTTCTATTTTCAACCACGTTAGGAATCTTCGTCAATGATACTATGACTATCCAAGAGCATAATTGTGCAATAAATTGTCTTCGTGCTTTTGGGAAATGAGATAGTCTTACATCAAGAATGAAACGATAACATTCTCACCAAATTTTATTGACAAATAATAAGAAAAAAAATTAATAATGCATTAGGCGACCCCGCAGCTGAATACTCTCCTGTATACGTCTAGGCATCGACAAAATGAGATGATCGATGTCTGGTTGCGGCAACTCATTCCAAGCTGTTCAAACTTCGTTGATTAACTCCGGCAGAGTCTGTGGCGGATGGTGCAAAACATTAACTTCTAGTGGATCAAAAAATTACAGTAGATAGGCGAAATGTCTCCAGTTCCTGGGATATTACGTTGTTCTATGCCTTTATGGCTTGTTTTGAGAAGAAGGGGGACTGAATCATAGGAAAAATGATACGTCTGATTGAACAAACTCACTTTACGTTTTTTATCAGATCGGATATGATGTCGGATTTCGTTACTCACGCATAAGCGAGGGTCTTTTTGTGCTCGTAAAATTTTTTGTCGTTATGTTGACAAACCTTTCAAGTTGAAAAAGTATCATATTGTTAAAAGTACATTATGGTGCTGATTTCTATGTGTTCTACTAAAAATAGGAGAGGGGAAAATTCACATGTGGAACGTCAATCTGTCTGTCAGTTTCTTTGTTTGGCGTTTTCTGTCCTCTTAATATACAGGGCGTTCCTGTCAATATTTAAGGGGCGATTTTTGATTCTATTATCTAAAGTGATATTTACAGAAATTAATAATAAGCGATTTATTTTAAACCCTGAATCTCAAAAGTTGAGACGTTCAGATGACGTTTTCTTTCCATAGGACTAAAAAACCGTCCCTTTAAATATTGACATTTAATCAGTATGAACTTTTCACTTTAGTTTCATCTTTTCGCTGTAGTGAAACCTCGAAAAACACCTTTAAGAAATTTAGAACTCTATTAAAATGCGCATCATATACTGACTCAATCTATTTGATGTTATACAGGGTGTCCATTTTAACCTCCCCACCTAAGTATTTCGAAAATTTAAAAAGAGTTTTAAGCAAAAGTTGTACGGTTTCAATAGGACAAAATTATGGTGACGTTGACAATGACATTGAATGCAACCTTCAATGTCATTCCAAAGTCGAGTAAATATTTTCAAACAAAATCTCTTGCTTTTTCCAATTCTAGTATAAAAATGAGAGGTTTCCTCAATTTCGACTTGACCCTGAAGGTAATAGTCAAGGTCACCTTTTGGTGACCTCAGCAAACCTGACAACGGTGCTGTCGAACATTTTCTTAGAGCAAATTGTTTTCTATGTCACGAGTTGACCTTGAAATTGCCTTGACGGTCTTGGTCAAGGCAATTTCAAGGTGATATTTGGACGTAAAATTTCCTCCTTTTTTCGATTTCGATTTGAAAATAATTACTTTCTCTTGGAATGACCTTGAAGGACGAAATATTCTTCTGTTCATTTCTACTATGTATAAAAGGGTCCAACAGTGGGTATAACGTTGTGGAACGTCAATCTGTCTGTCAGTTTCTTTGTTTGGCGTTTTCTGTCCTCGTAATCTACTGGGCGTTTCTGTCAATATTTAAGGGGCGATTTTTGATTCGATTTCAAGAAGAAAACTTCTATGTTCTCCACGACTTGAGATGCAGGGTTGAAAGCTTTCAATGTAGGAAGTTTTCTTAAAATTCAAAAAATGAAATCCGTATTCATTTATGAACAGATATGATCTATCGAATTTTTTGAGTTTAACTCAAGGTTTTTACCTAAAAAATAAAAAGTATTTCTCTGTATTGTGATATTGTCACACTAATTGTTATGACCATGCAGAAAAACGTTTTTTATTATTTCAAGCGGAAAGTTCTTCAGAAATAAAATCAATGTCTGCAAAAATAGACAGATGCAATTCGGTAAGAATTAAAAAGAATTCGGTATATTTAAAAAGTTCTCTTGATACATTGTATGTGTATGCTACATTTTATGGTAATATCTAAATAATAAACGATTTATTTTCCACCCTGAATCTCAAAAGTTGAGACTTTCAGATGAAGTTTTCTTCCCATAGGACTAAAAAATCGTCCCTTTAAATATTGACATTTAATCAGTATGAACTTTTCACTTTAGTTTCATTTTGCCGCTGTAGTGAGACCTCGAAAAACACCTTTAAGAAATTTAGAACTCTACTAAAATGCGCGTCATATACTGACTCAATCTATTTGATGTTATACAGGGTATCCCATTTTAACCTCCCCACCTAAGAATTTCGAAAATTTAAAAAGAGTTTTAAGCAAAAGTTGTACGGTTTCAATAGGACAAAATTATGGTGACCTTGACAATGACATTGAATGCAACCTTCAATGTCATTTTAAAGTCGAGTAAATATTTTCAAACAAAATCTCTTGCTTTTTCCAATTCTAGTATAAAACTTAGAGGTTTCCTCTGACAATTTCGACTTGACCCTGAAGGTAATAGTCAAGGTCACCTTTTGGTGACCTCAGCAAACCTGACAACCATGCTATCGAATATTTTTCTAGAGCAAATTGTTTTCTATGTCTCGAGTAGACCTTGAAATTGCCTTGACGGTCATGGTCAAGGTTATAGCCAAGGTGATATTCGGACGTAAAACTTCCTCCTTTTTCGATTTCGATTTGAAAATAATTACTTTCTCTTGGAATGACCTTGGAGGACGTAGTCGAGGTCTTTATCAAGGTCTACAACTTTTGTTTGAATTTGTTTTTCTAGAATGCACAGCTTTGGAAACATTGAAGTAAGAAGATTAAAACGGATTATTATCAAATATTCTTCTGTTCTACGAAAAGTATTTTTCTGCATTGTGATATTGTCACACTAATTGTTATGATCATGCAGAAAAACGTTTTTTATTATTTTAAGCAGAAACTTCTTCAGAAATAAAATCAATGTCTGCAAAAATAGACAGATGCAATTCGGTAAGAATTAAAAAGAATTCAGTATATTTAAAAAGTTCTCTTGATACGTTGTACGTGTATGCCACATCTCATTGAAATATCTAAAGTGATATTTA